AACGGTTTGTAGCCGGTAGACGCATACACTGCATTGTTCAAAGCGAAATCCACAAGTGGCAGCATGGCGCTCCAGTGCTTCCGCATCTCAGCGCAGATGCTGCAAAGAACCTTTATGATGCGATTTACGCGCTCAGTTTGGCCAGACTGATGGCCTTTTTTCACCTATCAACTTCCGGGGTAATTGGTATTATTTCCAATCGCCTCGACGAGGCATTGGATCATCAGCTGTAGGCTGCCCGCAGAGTGGCTATGCGCGCGAATCCACGTCCGGTCCAAGCCCCTCGTGTGGAATACGGCTTCCCTTCGGCGGATCCCGCTACCGAAGCAAAGGACGCAACTACTCGATCGTTGCGACTACGTAGTCGGATCCCCAGTCACAACACAAGCTGAGCTTGATCAACGAAAAGCTCTCCGAGCTTGCTTCTTGGTATCTTAAGATCCCCCATTGAATATGTACCGCGCTTGACTTCGCGATGGAAGAGGAGGCGCTCCTGTACCCGCAATGCGGACTGATCCATTGGTGCTCGCCCTTTGCGAAACCGCTGTAGATGATAAAGAGCGCTTTGAGCGATGCTGTAGCGGCACCGGAAACTTTCCTCGCTGGCTTACTTACAGAGGATCTACAAGGAAGCGGACGTGCGCGTAGAACGCCATCATCGATTCGATATGCCAGACTCAAGCCGCACCGCCAACTTTCTACGTACAGTCGCACTGGGATATTTTGAATACTTCATCACGCTCCCGCGAACTCTGTGGTTTCTCACACGAGTGAGTGTACGACCACAGCAGCTCAGGACCATACCTTGAATTCAGCTCATGGCCCTTCGGCACCCCGGGCTACCGCCGAGAAGCGCGGAGCGTCATGATGCCTCCGATCATAAGCGTCCACGACGTCTAGGAAGTCTTGCCAAAGTGGCAACTCAAACTCCCACGAGTTCTCGGAGTCTGGGTATCCCCGACACTTTACAAGACGCTGAGTTTAACCTGGCGACGAGGTTGACCTACAAGGCGTTCCACGTGATAGTGGACGCCACTGTTCTCGTCGAGAAGAGTTGGCGGCGGACGATGATGACTTGGTCGATCGCCGTCCGGTGACTCGCGGTTCTCTTCGAGCTCTTGAAGAAAACGTTCATCGTCATTGACACTCCGCTGAGCATCTTGCCGAGGTCGCATACAGCTGTGCGGAATAAATTAAGAGCTTGATGCATTGACTGGCTCACGTTAAAATTTATCGCGCTCTATCGGAGCGGGCCCTAGCCGTCGAGCAGACGAAAAAAGTCGCTTGGTACGACAGTGGAGCGCCTGGTGCTGTTGGAAACAGAAATTGTTGCACTTCGTGCTCAAAACCAGTTGCTTGTTCAGCTTCTGGGTGGTTATGCGCATGTGAGCGCCGCCCCAGCGTCAACGCTTCCGCGTTCATTTGCGCCGGATCCCGGTACGGCTTAAGCAAGCTCACATAAACCACCGGGTGGGTGCACATCCTCCTCGGAAGGTTTAACGTATACGCAAGGCACCGCTGGATAGAACCTTAAAACATCCGATAAAACGTGGGCAGAGCTTTGGCTTAAAGACAGCAGAAACTGCATGTGTACGACGATTTCTAGCATTTAATAAAACCAGGTCTCCGACCACTTTCACCATTTCTTCTGCTTCATCTGTCGGCATAACTTTCTGCATGTCTTGGCTTTCAGCCATCGCATCGCGATCGTGTTGTAAGACACTCAGTCTGGTAGACGTGATGGAATACGCAGGTGTGGAACCCATTTAAAGAGATGGGACCAAATAATATCGTGTGAGACGGCAATATGCGTCTGTTTGCGATCAATTTGAGTATCAGGAAGCGACAACGTCAATCTTATTGATTATAAGCGCAAATAGAGAATATCAAGCACGATGATCTGGAGGAAGTATTTTATAAAATTTGATGCTATCGAAACCTCAGCAGGTCGTTATCAAGACTGTTATGATTTATGTGATTTTGTATGGAGTGCCTCTGGGTGAACGAAGTAGCTCTAGGGTACTGGAGTACGTTGAGTCATGCTCGCCAGCTGCACGGATCTCGTCTTGGAGCTGAGATTCCGGAACAACATTCGTCAGACTCACGCCTGACGTCTGATTCTTAGCACACTCGACTTCATCATTTTCTACAAGCGACACACGTGGGTCCTGGTCGGGGGCGTCGAGGTAGAACGTAGGCGAAAATTTTGTCTAACCCGGGCATATAATGAACAACGTAGCCGTACAGGAAAAATGACAACTAGTAGGTTATTTGCCAGGAAACATGAGAGCTCTTCATCATTGCCCCTTCCAGCGCAGAGATCTCTTCACCCAACCAGTACGATTTAAACTTAACCCAAGCCTAGCGCATTGCTAACAGCTCTTTGTCATGAACGAGATATTTGCTTTCGCTGGTTTCATCTGCCGGGATACGCTGCTCATGACGCTTTTGCGGCCTTCGTTGCCTAGTTATGTCAGTAAGCAGCCGAAGATAAAGTCGCTCACGGCTTAGTCGACATGTTACGGCTTCAAGTAAACTTGAAACGCGGGGAGTAAGGTCTGACCGAGTTTATTTTCAACGGATCGAATGTGATTTGATGCGCGGTAGTCCACAACCATACAGCAATTCGCTGTAATATAAATTATGATCTAGTGGCTAGATCAGTCGCTTTTAGCTGTATCTGTACGTGTGGAGGTTATCAGACGCACACCAGTGAAATTTTGCAGCATTGACCACATGCTGATTAGAGGTGCATTCTCCAGATTAGCTCGGACGCCGTCTATGTAGCCACAGCAAGTCAGTATCCGAAGCGCATGAGACGAGTTTCTTCAACTATTCTTTCAGCTTTTTGCGTATACCACTTATAAGACTAGCTGCGAGTGTAGATCGCTCAGAAATATCGCTTAGCGCGACTGTGCAAAGATGTCATTAACGGTTTCTGGCGTGTAATCACGGCAGGAACGTAGCAAATACGACATTATGTTTTTAAACGTGAAGAGAGCACCCTTCAATTCATGCGGTAAAACATCTACTCCAGCAGCTTACCGTTGGGAGTATTCACCATGATGAGCGGTGTATTTCTCGCCTTTTACGAATTTTGGTCAAGTCGATGGCGCTACAGATCTTACAATCTGACATAACATTAAAGATCATGTATTTCGGAGAATTCCGCATCTGTGTAGATATGATAGTGATGTTCGGCTTGTTGAAAGCCCATGCATCACCCATCCGCTGTATTATTCAGGCAGAATGCAGGACCGCGAGCGCCGGAATGTCGGACCGCGAGCGCGGATATGTAGTCTTGCACTCATGACCCGCCTTGCTGAGGCATTCGATGGAGACACTAATGGCTCTAGCTTGACCTCGCGGCCCTTATTTGCGTAGCGCTTTTCAATATCGTGGTGGAAAGTGCTCCTCGCTGGCTTCGTTTGCGCGCCTTTTGGGTAAAGAAGCCGCTGACTATACCGACAGCGATCACTTTGACGGACGCTCAATCAATATCGATGCTTAATCTAACCTTCTTGTTCCACCCACTGGACAGCGGAGACGGTTCGTTCCCAAGAGACGTGTAGAATAAATGATCAAGTGTGTTTCAAGAGGTGGGCAAATCCGACCGTTATTCAGCGGCTAGCGATACTTTTCAAATATCGTGCGCGACCGCCTCCGTCAGTGGCATATTACTTGGCTTTTGCTCTCGGTGGCAATTCAGCATAGGTGTTTTGGGGTTTCTTCGTTCGTCAATTCTAGTGCAAATTTGAAGATGCCAAATTGCTCTCGCTAAACGAATTTTCAACTAATCAAAGACCCAGCTCAACAGCGGTATTTTTAGCGGAAGCGCCAATTGCACTTATTTCGGCTCGGTCGGTGGAATCCCCTGTTTAATCACTATCGCCTTGCTCAAAGAAATTTTGTGCTCGACCTTCATCTCATCACGTACGAGTATTCCAAATTGACCAATACTGTATTTATCAGCGAGAGCCTTTGCTCGATCATCTGTAGACCTTCATTCACGCGTTGCTGCAAGGGTTCGTCGGTCAATGGTACCACGTAAACTGTGCAGAGAGGAGCATCAGTAAGTCTGGGCAGAACCTGCGCTATGAACGATTGATTCACGACGGCGACGTGAGTATAATCATTCTGATCATCCAGGCGGTAGATCAATACATCGCTGTCGTCGTTGTGACTGCAGCGGTTGACGATCCAGCCACGTAATTTTTTTGGCAACGCAGCAACTACAACATATTCAGGTTGCAGTCAAACACGTAATTTAATCTTGGAGCTTAAAATTGCTTTGTAATTCGCTGAACGTATACAGTATTGCCATCTCACGCATCGGGACGCGTTGTAAGCTCCTATCGGCTCGATCTCTCTTCCACAGTTGCGGACATCAACATCCGGCAGGAATACTGGCAACCATAACGCGTGGAAATATTGTTGATTGCTCTTACATCGTGAAAGCTGACGATAATTAATCTCGAGCCACTTTGCGTGCTGGCTGTCTTAATGTGTGCATGCAATGCTTGAGAGCGTGGAGGTTGACTAGCTACCTGGAAACCTGACGTTCATTTACCAAGTAGGGCGCCCCGCACTCAACATGATCAAACACTGGAGCTGCCGCGCGGCATTTCGCTGGGTGGTGAGAGGCCTTACAGTAACGAAATCAGGTTAAATATCAAAGCCCTAGTGCATAAGCATATGACGCCGCAACCACGTTGTACTTAATTGATCTTAAACATTTTTGCTGCCGAAAAGCGCAAAGTCTGAAACGAAACCGTCGTGAGGCTGCTCGAACGCGAGATGAAGATCTTTTTGGAGGATACCAGAGTGAGGAAAACATTGAGGTCAACAACTGAGTCCCCGAGAATATATTTAACCTTCGCTGGTAGCCACGGAAGGAGAAAACTCACTTATGCGGAAGTTCCTTCTATGCGACGGTTATGTGTTTTTTGAAACCACTTGTTTGGCTAAAAGCGATCTTAGTCTATATCAGAGTATGTCAGTTTGACGACTTCATTTAAGAATTACGCGGGTAAATCGACGCTCACTGAATGGTTTCGACGAGCTCGCGCTCCATGATAACTTGTGCCGCTAGCTGAGCGCAGCAGTAATCTATGATGGCCTTGATTGTCATGCGATCTATCTGCAGGGCAAGCTTCCTAGTATGCACCCAGGCAAGGAAATTTGACCGTCACAAAAAAGTGTCGATATTGACGAATTGCTGTTTAAAGCGCATTAACTTGAGCTTTGCTCGCATTATAAGGCCTAGAAGTCAAACTTGTTAGAGCATGCCGAAGAGGTAAGTGTGAAAATTCACATCTAAATACCCATCCTCTACACAGCTATGGACGAATATAGGATTGTACATAAGAATGATGTGGCTTGTGCAGCTGTGGTACTTGGCAGTCTCACGTCGCTGGTTTATCAGATAGTATCCGCGGGCAATATTATTCTCTATCAGAGCATCTTGCTCGAAGAAATCAGCGACGTGAGAGACATCACAAATGGTTAAAGGTAATCAGCTCCTAGGACAAGTTCTGAGCAGGGTCCAACTGGCCATAGCTCATTTTTTACAGCATAGGCTCCTGTGGCGAAAAAATGGTTGTATTTAGCCTGCTTCGAAAATGAAAATTTACAAGTTGCCATTAGCCTTTCGACCAAAAAGTCGGGGGAATTTCGGATGCGCTAATTGCTCTTCCCATTCGTAATGCGTGGGATGTAGCTCCTCCAGCCGTTTTAAGCGGTATCGTTGATCAAGAGCAAATCAAAGCAGCACAGCAATCGCGATTTCAAGAATTGTTTTCCCGTCAAAAACGGAGGGCTTCACATCCGACTGATTTGCAATAATGATTCCATGGTTTGGCTTCGAGAAGCCACACGACGAACCGCATTTTCATATCAAGTGTACAATTAGGTCACATTTGCTATGGCCGTGAGCAAAGAAAGTCAAGCAGAGCGTGGTTGTAACATTAATCTCAAAACCGCACACATCTCACGTTGAAGCTGGGTTAAGGTTTCAGCAAAACGTTTTCTCGTACAGCGTTTATATTTGTATATCGCGATTCGGCTCTTGAATGAGCCGCAAGTCCATCTATATGGAAGATAAATAGTCTAGCTGACTCTGCCGGAATTAAGTTTGAGCGGAAATGAGGGGACAACGTACACTCCTGCTCTAACCCCTGCTGTTTTCTCAAAAAATATACCTCTTCCCAGTCGTACTCTCCTGTTAGAAGAATAACCACATAGAGGATAAGACTCTAAATATTGATTTTATGGGAACATCCCGCTCTAACAGTCGGAGCAAAAAGCAGGAGTGTCTAAAAAATCTATATAGTCAATGATGGAACCCGGATGTATTGTTGGTGGTGTCGGCTTACTGCAGTTGTCTCCTCCGGATGATCAGAAGGACGCGTCCGTCGGTACTATGCCTACAATGAGAGAAATGAAATCCCAGAGGCAGGTCGCAACCTTTGTTTCTTCTGTTCGAACGATCCTCTGACGCTGAACGTGTCTTTGTACCATGAGGAGCAAACAAACCTCTCTCTCACGATGCTCTGTCGAGTTGAACGCGGCAATCACTCCACGACAACTACAAGACCCTTCGCAGCAAGGGCTGTTTACGAAGTCCAACCTTGCGGGTCGTGCAAAGCGTTGGGCGTGTAGCAGGCGTTTGGCGAATCTAAGCTTCTCCCAGCTAAAAATGCTATAAAGAGGAGCGAAAAAGGCTTTTAAAATATCATAGAGTGTGTTTCGTGCCTGCGCTAAACTCTTTAAGCTTTGCCAAGGTCGTTACGACCTACACTCATATGTACAGTGTGCTCGATACTTGGTATCGTGACTTAAGTCAATTGACTTTTCAGCGCAAGTTGTAATGTTCATAAAGATTTTGAAAAAACGGTCGATCAGGGATCAAAGTTCCGTCGGTACCCTAAGACGCTGGACATAGCCACTAACGGTGCGGTGCATAAAGACTTTATCATTAAGCAAGCCTAGTGTGATGGCTCCGTACTAAAACAAGCGCGTCGACTCCTACATGTGATTGTTTAGCGCCAATAAACATCTCGCACAGATTACCCTTGGAGCTGAGCGTCCTCACATCAATGGAAAGTATATTTGTGTGGGAAGCCGAACCATTTTGCTCGGAACTGCAGAGTGTCGTTGCCGGGTCGGCAAAAGACACAGGGTGCTCGTTCAGATAGCCGCGGACGCTATAACAATCGTCGGCTCAAAGGTTTTCAGGGTGAAAAAAAGCGAACGATTTGTTAGGGCGGACTTCCCACTAGTTTTGATAAGAGTGCTGTAGATGTTTTTGTCACACAAATACATGTGCTTCATACACGTTGGGGCTGTATGAAGCACATGTATTTTATGAGTAGGAGTGACCGTAACGTCAAGCAAACGCGACTTTGTTGTCCAGGAATTGTTTGTCGACAGTTTTGGGAACCGTCACTTCCGTCATCACTCTCATTTCCTCGGTTGCCGCTGACTACGAGCATTGATTGACACTAGTTTGTCGAAGAACTTCGTTCGAGCGAAAGTTTTAACTGGGCATGGTTTTTGCGTGCTCAACGTGAGATAAATGATGATTATGTTAGCGAATGGATCTGTAATGAAGTTGACGAAGCAAATTATTCGGCTGTTAATGAAGTCTGGGGTCATTCGATGAAGACGAGTTTATTCTACTCGGCCTCTATCCTACGTATGTCATGATGGAAGCGTTATACGCATTGACAGACAAAATTTAAACACATTCGTTTGAGCTAACACTAATTTGGAAAAATACATTTTTTTGGTCTCCTGACATCGTCGTTCTCGGTTGATTAGTGGGCAAGAATGGTGTTTGTGTAGGTCTGGACAACGTCAAAATATTTATAATTGGTCTGTGCAACAGTTTGAACTTGCTGAGACAATGGATGGTATTTGCACAAATACACACGAAATTTTGCAGCGTTGCTGTCACCCCTATAACTCTTTTAAGGAAGAACGTTGAGTTGGAATGGCCAAACGATCATCAGGCGGTATTTGCCGAAGGGATTCAGTACTTGCAAGAGGCTACTGTCCTTGCGAATGCTAGCGACAAATAACATTTCATTAAGCGTGCGATACAATTGAAGGCACCTTTGGTTGTGGATTGATGCAGCTCAATGATGAGGACCAGTCAAGATTATTTCATTTTAATCGCGGCGACCCCGGCACGCGGAACGAAATTACCCGGTTCATGACAAAGAGCTTCAAACAAAGAAGTATGCGTTGGTCAAATTCCGTGGGTACTTGCTTGTAGGGGAAGCTTTGTGATCTATATATGTTACGTCTCGCTGAGGACGGTATAAAAGAATTCATGTTTCGCGCAGAAATTCGCACGATGATTTTTGGTTTTTGCGAATTACAACTTTGTTGGACGCTACAAGCCAGACGCGATAAAAGTTGTAGCCAATGCCTTGTCATGACGTTCAGATTATATTCCAGTGTCCAGGAGCGAAAACATGCGAGAGCATGTCGACAATGCGAAGATGCGAGGACGATTTGCGCGCAAGCTACGACTACAGTGCGCGAAAAAAATGTCTAAGAGTACAAGTCTAATTAGACATATCAAGATTTCTTAAGATACTTCTTTGACCCTTTCGACATTTAACTGAATGTTTTTCGTCTCGCACAAGATTGCGTCTTGAACGGTTTAGAGTACACACTGAATTGATATACTCTGCGGTTGAAAATGGAAAACAGCAAGTTCTGTTGTTCATAATGACGAAGGTTTGTGTCATCGTCTCTTATAGAGTATCTTGCTCCTTTCAGGTGGCCATCTCGGACACACATGTATAAGTAGTTCCGCATGTATGTGGGGATTTGCGAGATTTGCCAGATAGTTACGCCATCACGTTTCACATTTTCTTGTTGGCAGCGCCAGCTGGCAGCTGGGAGTCTGTAAATATGAATTACATTTGTACTTCCGCGTGACACATACTAACGCATTGGCGTCCTTGCGTTACGGAACCGATTCAACAAGACGGATGTTTCGAATTAGATTTCTGCCGAGAAAATGTCAAGGTCTTTGTAGAAGTTGCTTTTTCCGATCCTGTCTGACCGTAGCTCAATTTCTCATCGAAGTTTTGGCGCAGCTGTTTGGATTATTGGGTAACAAATTATCCATGTCAACACCGACTCACCCTGAAATAATTGGTCAAACAGATCGTGTGTATTGAGTTCTATAGGACATACTGCCTAGTTACGCTATGTCGTCATAGTATGAAGTAAGCTTCTTCCCTCTCATAGAGTTTGCGCTGAACAACCCCACGCCTCGACAGGTCCCTCATTTTTCAGTTGACATATGGTATGCGTCCTAGAGTACCTGATTTCATAATGGGTGCCGTCTCCACCTTATGTGGGATATTGCTACACAGTCACACTAAGATCTTAATGTTGGCATGACTTTAAAAGCAAAATTCGACTCGAAACGTCATCTAGACGACATGACAAATCGTGAGGAGCGGCACATCGATGATTTTATTGTGATTAGACAAGCCGTTGCGGTTCGTTCGAAACGGTTTTTCGAAAGCTCAGGATCTGTAAGAAGAACAAGGAGATAAGTCATGAAGATAGTATAATAAAGTGGATAAGGTCAGTGATCTAGTATACTTAGCATGATCAATCTGCCTGATCATGCAGTTTTTAACTTGGGAAGCGGAAAAATTTTGCCAACTTTCATTAAATTCTTCATGGTGTTAGATTGCAAGCATGATACTTATACCATAGCCGTTCCTACATGCATGCACATACATCCTAAAATTTATGTGGGTAGGCTAAAGTAGAATTTGCCGATCCTACTATAACTTTAGTAGATGATCGAGCCGATCATGAAGATTCCACCGGACCGCAAAGATCAATCGACTCTCCATCTTAAAAGTTTTTCTCAGCAAAAAACGTTAAAAAAGGTTAAGATGTTGTTAGTTTACTGGTTCCAAAGCTTAGAATGCGAGATTGATTCTTATATCAAAGTACCTCGGCAGGAGTGCCTGCCTCTACAGCATGCAAATGGGTGTTTTTATTAGCTAGCTCACGGGACAGCATGTCCTTCTGGATTCGAGCGAGTTCATCATGAACATGCAGGATCCGTAGTTCAAAACGAGCCTCCGAAGCCGAGCATTGAACGAAATCGTCAATCAAAACGTCGAAACTCGACTTCTGCTCTACAACAAGGTTTGGAAGGCTCGCAGCAAACCTCAAGAGCAAAAAACGCCGCTGAAATGCTTAATTTGCCCGCGATAAGCGCTCTTTTACACCAAGTGTTGCTTAATCGTTATCACAATCAACCACCACCACAGGTTTTAGATTCTCGCGGAGAGCCGGGTTGGGTAGTTGAGACGACTATCGATCACAAAGATTGATCACGCGTCATCGTGGAAAGAAGCAGCTGAATCATCAACGCTTCAACTGAGTTCGTTGGTTCAGCATCCACCGGAATTGGACACGTGGAAACCCCATCAGGCGCTAGAGTATGATGTCCCTGACGTTGTCCGCACCTACAAAATTGTTTTTTTGTTGCTTGTGGCAACACTACGACGATCAGAGCTAGGTTTTCTCGTTCGTGTTTTCTATCCCTGCCAGCACTACCTCGGCAAGTGGAAGCTCCATCCTGATCTTGTTTTTAAAGCAAACAATTGTCCACCAAGAGTCCAATATTGATGCGATTGCTGCTGCGACGCCAACGACATAAACATCACATGTAGAATATCTTGTCTCTTTCTCGGTTAAAAGATTTGTGGAACCGTTCTATGTCTAAGCGGCAAATCTGTCCACTAAAGTGGGCTTGTTCACTTGATCGCGTCATTGCTGATCGTAAAGTAAATTAC